TACATAAATAATCTGTTATTCGTGATTATTTTCACACCAAGTAAAGCCTCTTACTTATTACTCTCCCCGTAACAACAATGTTTTGAAAAATTAAAATATGAGACCTTGTGGTGCAAACTAATATTTTTTTTTAATTGCGTCGTTAGCTGTTGTTCTAAAGTTGAGTTATTGCTTGACTCTTGAAAGTTAAAAGAAGACAAATTTCACGGTCAAAAAGATGCTGTTATTTTAGATGGATGTTTTTACCAAGTGGAATTTTAATAATAATAATAATAATAATAATAATAATAATAAAATAATAATAATAATAATAATAATAATAATTAACGGTTTATTGAAAGAGCATGGCAACCGGAAGGCTGGAAATATACAGTTGCATAATTGGGGAATGGGTGTGCTGTTGGTCCTGTTTGTTTCTCACTGGATGGTTCCTCATAACATATAAGAGTCGCTTCATGTAAGTAAACATAATATATTCTTTCTCTAACTCACAAACACACACATCAATCCATTCAATTACACACACACACACACCTTACCTACCACCCTCCTACTCTCACAATCCTCAACTCACCCCACCAACCCACACACTATCTACTGCACCATATACAGCTACAGATAATCCCTGGATGGAATGAGTGTTCACGGCCTCCATCAGTAAGAACAAAGGCTCGTACTGGTAGTAGTGAACGGCCAAACATGACTTGCTTTTAGTCTGTGTGTATTCAGTATACCTCGTACCTGTCTCTAGAGTAAAGCCAGAGACATGATAGCGCATCACTGGTGTACTGCTGAATATGTATATTAAATCAGCGTGGCTCTGATCACACACACACACACACACACTCCCTCTGTGTGTGTGTGTGTGTGTGTGTGTGTGTGTGTTTTCCTCCCACTCAGCTTAGGTCAACAGTGTCGTCCAAGGTGAGGCTCACACGGGGAATAAGACAACAACGGTAAGAGTGTTCGCTTGATAGCACCGCTTGTTCTGGCTTTAGATAAGATCGCCAGGCCTGGGGTAGAGCCGTCTGGGTGTAGAGGGGGATATGGAGAGAGGGAGGGAGAGTTGCTTGGTGGGAGGGTAGGTTGGAGGGAGGTAGGAAGAGAAGGTTGGAGAGAGGGAGGGAGGAAGAGAAGGTTGGAGGGAGGGAAGAATTGATTGAAGGGAAGGAGATGTGGATGGATGGAGGGAAGGAGAGTTGGTTGGAAGGAGGGAAGGAGAGTTGGTTGGAGGGAGGGAAAGGAAGGAAGGAGAGTTGGTTGGAGGTAAGGAAGGAGAGTTGGTTGGAGGAAGGGAAGGAGAATTGGTTGAGGGAAGGCGAGTTGGAGGGAAGGAAGGAAGGAGAGTTGGTTGGAGGGAAGGCGAGTTGGTTGGAGGGAAGGAAGGAAGAGTTGGTTGGAGGGAAGGAAGGAGAGTTGGTTTGGAGGGAAGGAAGGAAGGAAGGAGAGTTGGTTGGAGGAGGAAGGAAGGAAGGAAGGAAGGAGAGTTGGTTGGAGGGGAAGGAAGGAGAGTTGGTTGGAGGGAAGGAAGGGGAGTTGGTTGAGGGAGGAAGGGAAGGAAGGAAGGAAGAGAAGGAAGGAAGGAGAGTTGGTTGGAGGGAAGGAAGGAGTTGGTTGGAGGGAAGGAAGGAGTTGGTTGGGGGAAGGAAGGAAGGAGAGTTGGTTGGAGGAAGGAAGGAAGGAGAGTTGGTTGGAGGGAAGGAAGGAAGGAGAGTTGGTTGGAGGGAAGGAAGGAAGAGAGTTGGTTGGAGGGAAGGAAGGAAGGAAGGAGAGTTGGTTGGAGGGAGGAAGGAGAGTTGGTTGGATGGAGGGAAGGAGAGTTGGTTGGAGGGAAGGAAGGAGAGTTGGTTGGAGGGAAGGAAGGAAGGAGAGTTGGTTGGAGGGAGGGAAGGAAAGTTGGTTGGATGGAGGAAGGAGAGTTGGTTGGAGGGAAGGAAGGAAGGAGAGTTGGTTGGAGGGAAGGAAGGAGAGTTGGAGGAGGGAAGGAGAGTTGGAAGGAAGGAAGGAAGGAATGAGAGATGGTTGGAGGGAAGGAAGGAGATGGTTGGAGGAAGGAAGGAGAGTTGGTTGGAGGAAGGAAGGAGAGTTGGTTGGAGGAAGGAAGGAGTTGGTTGGAGGGAGGGAAGAAGTTGGTTGGAAGGGGAAGGGAGTTGGTTGGAGGAAGGAAGGAAGGAGAGTTGGTTGGAGGGGAAGGAAGGAAGGAGAGTTGGTTGGAGGAAGGAAGGAGGAGATGGTTGGAGGGAAGGAAGGAAGGAGTTGGTTGGAAGGAAGGAAGGAGAGTTGGTTGGAGGGAAGGGAAGGAGAGTTGGTTGGAGGGGAGGGGAAGGCGAGTTGAGAGGGAGGAAGGAAGGAGAGTTGGTTGGAGGGAAGGAAGGAAGGAGAGTTGGTTGGAGGGAAGGAAGGAAGGAGAGTTGTTGGAGTGGTTGGAGGGAGGGAAGGAAAGGAAGGAGGAGGGAAGGAGAGTTGGTTGGAGGGAAGGAAGGAAGGAAGGAGAGTTGGTTAGAGGGAAGGAAGGGAGTTGGTTGGAGGGAAGGAAGGAGAGTTGGTTGAGGAGGGAAGGAGAGTTGGTTGGAAAGGGGAAGGAAATTGGTTGGAGGGAAGAAAGGAAGGAGAGTTGGGAAAGGGGGAAGGAAAATTGGTTGGAGGGAAGAAAGGAGTGTTGCTTGGGGGTAGGGATTGAAGGACGGGTGGAGAGAGGAAGGAAACATATTTGGAGGGGATGAAGGAAGGGGGGAAAAGGATTGGAAGGAAGGAGGTTTGAGAAAAGGCTGGAGGCCGGGTTGGAGTGGAGGCTGAAGGCCGGGTTGGAGGAGGCTGGAGGCTGGAGGAGGCTGGGAGGAGGGTTGAGTGAAGGGGATTGAGAGGGAAGATCAAAATAGGGAAAAGGGGTGAAGAAGGGGTGGAGGGATGAGAGAAGAAGGGGTGGGGCGGATGCGAGAGGTGAAGGAGAAGAGAATGTGGGAGGTGAAGGGCGAGGTGAGGCAGTAATAACATGAACGGGACTGATGGGTATTTTGAGGGAGAGAGTTGGTCAGGCACAGGTGTGTGTGTGTGTGTGTGTGTGTGTGTGTGTGTGTGTGTGTGTGTAAGGAGCCTGACACTTAACCCCTGACCTTTCTCCTGTTTGTATCTGTGTTTTCCTGGTAATTGCTCTTCAGTATGGCCGCCACTTTTGAGGAGATCTTAGCGTAAAAAATATTCTCCGATACCGTTTTTTTTTCTTCCCCCAGTCGAGTCGAGTTGAGAGGACACACACACACACACACACACTGGAGGAGCATCGTATGTGTCCCTCGGCACTATATGACATGCTTATGTCGCTAGCTGCGCCCTTTCCTGCTGGGAAATTAAAAGTGTGACATACATACATACATACATACATACATACATACATACATACATACACACACACACACACACACACATACATACGTGTACAATCAAAGACAAAATTCGTGTCGCGGTTTTGTCCGAAGATTAAATATAACTGGTGAAACATTATGAGAGCCCTACCACAAGGCAGAGCGCACCAAAAGTTTAGCCCTTCGGCATATGTTTTCACTACATTTCACGACGACTTTTGTCTTTCTTTGTACATGCACATGCGTACATCCACACAACACAGACACTAAATAAAATACTGTGCACACACACAGGAGGAAGATCAGGGGTTAAGTGTCTGGCTCCTTCTTACACACACACACACACACACATTACCTTACCATCACAACCATATGTGACACACACACACACACACACACACTACCCTACCCTACCCATCTCAACCATATATGACTTACACACACACACACACACACACACACACACACACACACACAATAATAAGCAACTCCTGATTTATGTACTGTACAGCCCTGTAAATGTATTCAACGCATATTATATCATTGTCTAAATCAAATGTAAGTCTGTATATTTTCAGCCACCGGCTGCAACTCTATTAATAAACCGTTTATTATTATTACATTATCCTACCCATCTCAACCATATGTGACTCAAACACACACACATATCATCTTAGTCCTACATGAACCCAAAATATACACGATATGACGATCAAGGTCATATTCGTTCTAAAGATGTAGCAGCATTTACACCTCTGACCTCACCGTGACCTTGAAGATGTAGGTTAAGATTTACTCCAGCAAGAACAGCAGGTAACAGCCCTTCCCCTCCCCTTTCCTCGCGGTCTTGGCTCCTCCCCGGGATAATAATAGAGGCGATGACCCTACATGATTCAGGGACATTGTAGTCGTGAAGCTTCTTAATACACGGGTAGATAGGAGGTCGACCCCTGGCAGGTAGGTAATGTAGCCTACATTATACTCTGTTATTATATTCCTGTCCGTTATGTATATGGAGAAAAAATATTAAAGTTATAAACTTAATATAACATTATTATTTTTGTTCATTATAATTATCTTCATGAGTGTTTATCACCGTTAGTTTTAATATTATTACAACGTATACCATGACCTGATAAAACTGGGGAGATTGTTGCACTCTCAAGGAACTGAAACACCCGGTACTGCATCGCCTTCGGGGCCAGTGAGGACGGTGACTGTCGTGGTCTGAACTTTTCTCTTTAGACTATACGTGGTTTTGCATTACTGTACACCATCATAAATTACACTTGTGCATTAATTAGAATGATAATCGATTTCAGCATGTGTATGTTTATATATCTCATTTATGGGATGGGTAATGTTTGACACGTTATATGAGCACAGTGAGAGCGAGGAGAATAGAGAAGAGTGCCGCAGTAACAAACAAACACAGCCCAGTAGCAGCGAGCACCACCCACACATAACTCACAAGGACACAGCGAGGCGGACTCTACCATATGGAAAACTCTGCGGCAGACAGACCACTGCAAAGACGGGGGAAAAACACACAGTAAACTGATGTCTGGTGCCCCGAACACGGCAGCACAGCCTGAGGCAACACAGCTGCTGGGAAGGTACTTGTATCCATAAGTTTACCTTGGCCAGATGGCTGAAGATCACCTGGATGACCCGGAGAACGTCCACAACCACCAGTTGCAGACACTGCCTCTACCGCCTAGATAGTTTCAGGTACGATTCGCGCGAGTCTTGTATCCATTCCACCCATGTGTGCCACGGTAGCCAATGGCAGTGGGGGGTGAGGCCCCTCGACCACTCACAGCTGACGCTTCAGTTTGAACCAACCAGTCGGGGGAAAACGCGCGAACTTTCTCAGCTAATGGGGAACGGCTGAGCATGTTATCGATTTCTAGGGTGCATTTGATGCGCACGTCTCCTTGCCTCCAAGATACTCTTTTTAGCTAATTGGTATATATTTAACTTTAAAAATTTTCTCATGTGACAATAAAAAATATTAGAAATTCCAAGTGATTCATTAATAGATAACTTTCATGGTAAGATAGTAATCAAGATAGTTAAAAGAAAATATTATTTCACTATAATCTGAAAAGAGTCGAAAATCCCTGGGAAAATATTGGAGCTATGCTAAAGCTCCTGTGAATGAAAAAAACTGCGGGAGGAGGAGGGTAGGGAGGGTCGTCCTAGCACTCCAAGCCTATTCAACTTTAATGCGCCAAAGTAGTTTATGTATTAGAGGTGCATGGTATCGCGAACACTACTATTTAAGTATAGAAACATATTTGGGGGGAAACTTTATACTGTATTTTTTCAACTGAAAAATTTCCTCTAAGTAAATTTTAGTTGTATCAGTGAGTACAATACCATCTCCTTCTTCTTTAATTACAAATAGAACCAAATTATATTGATGAACCGAAAACTAGTATCAGAGGCTGCTAGTGTAGGGGCAAGAGTCTGGAACCTGTTTGTGGTGTAATATATTTATCAGTCAATGACCGTAGTGGTTGCTAGTGTTAGCGGACCCATAGAGTTGTTGGCCTTCTAGTGTGTCTACTGCCGCCTCGACCACGTAGGGTGGCTCATGTCCCTTACAATACCACAGTCGACGATCCTCTCCTCCTCCTGTGTTGGGGTAGGTCCCTGTCCTTCCCTGTTATACCTCCTTGGTCCTTCCATAAGAAATATCACTTTCGTTCAGTCACTCGAGGATGAACTTGAAGATAAAGAATTTAATTTGGTATTCAGCTTTGTAACCTGAATATCTTGGTCTGGTTCGATGAACAATTTTTTAATACATATTTACTCAAGTTGTGATCAATGTTATGCCCCTCACACCTTGGGGGGTTATAGGAATGCATGCCGCCTGTCTGTTCCTCAATTTCGAACACAACTCGAAAACGTACCGTTCTATTTTTTTATGGATCACAGGAATATTTCAGGCATAATAATCATCAATTTTGGTTTGTGTTGTCTCGTGCTACGTCCTCTGCACGTTTGGTGGCGCAGCGGAGGACTTGCCCACACCTTCAGGGGACAACCCTGACCAACTTGGAAGAATTGGCGGCGGCGGTGTGTATATATATATATATATATATATATATATATATATATATATATATATATATATATATATATATATATATATATATATATATATATATCTTAGGTAGCGTGTCCAGTGTACGTTATATTACTATGTTGCGTTTGTGTAAAATGATGGTGCGATGTTTTATTTATTCTTATTTCAAGGCACACACAAAAAAACTCCTTTTAATAATGATGAAAATAAGAGTTGTGACCATGTCATGGGAAAAAAACTTACGAACTTATTTAGCTTGCAACCGTAATATTTCCCCCTATTTATACCGTGTAAAAGACTCCTCCCCCTGTCGTGTCTGTGGTGGTGACTCCCTTCACCCCATCTGTTGTCTGACCTCACCAGAGTGATGACTGAACATTACAGAAGAAAAGAAATTGTGATCTTTATACGAAGAATCAATTATATGGGCTGGGGAGGGAGGGAGAGAGGCTGGCACAGCTGACGGGAGGAAGGGAAGGGATGGGGGGCGGGGAGAGGGATGAGGATGTGGTAGAAAGGGGTGGGAGAGAAAGATGGGGAGCCATGGAGAAGGGGGTATTGAAATGATGGGGAGGGGTGTCAAGGTGGGGGAGAAAGAATGTAAAGAGTAAGCTGGAGAGGAGACGGGAACAGTCACAGTTGTTACTAGGCACACCATCCTGTTGTCCCGACCTATGACAACCTAACCTAACCAAGAAGCATGGGCTGTGGTATTTTGGTCAACTGCTTATTTTGATGGTGAGTTTTGCTTGTGTCAGGAATTATTTTCCAATAAGGAATAGTTATCTCCCAGATACTGTTATCCAAATTGGTCGAGGTTCATTCACTGTAGTGGCCAAGTTAAAATTGTACTGGGAAATTTTTTTTTATCTTTTGGGGAAGAATTGTTTTTATCCGTTGGGGGAATATATATTTTTTATCAATTGGGGAAATAATTGTTGTTATGAATTAGGGATTTTTTTTTATTCACTGGGGAAAGAAATAAGTTTTATCAATTGATAAAATACTGTAATGATTTTTTTTATCCATTGGGGAAATTTGAAAAAGTTTTTACCCATTCTATATAAAAAAAGTTCCCTCAGTAACGCTGGCAAAAAATGGGGTGTCCGATTGGCCATTAAAAATTAAAGAAAAATCCTCAACCGATTAAAAAAAATCAAAATAAAGTTTACTAACACACCCAAGAGGATGCACCTCACCACGCTGCTGTAATATATCCCGCTAGACGCGTATGATATTTCAAACATTTTGTGACAACCCCAAACTCAATTTTTTCTAACGCCTTACTAGTGGTACACGACAACACGACATGGCGATGGATAGAATATTATATCAATTCTGGAGAATACTTTTTTTAGGGGGGAGTGGGAGCTATCCTTGGGTTGTATCGATTTACTGTGTCGTTATTTTTGCCAGCACTGTTTGTATACATGTTGAACTAGTGTGTGTGTGTGTGTGTGTGTGTGTGTGTGTGTGTGCTTCAATGGTGGTTTTACTGATTGAATTACTTATATTTATCTATCTGTCTTGAACATTATTTATTATTATTTTTTACAAAGTAGGATGCATCTCTCTCTCTCAAGCGCATGCCGATTTTACAGAATACCATCTATCAGATAATGACGAAAATTACGATGTTATTTACTTTGACTTTAGCAAAGCGTTTGACAGAGTACCGCATCAGAGGCTTCTGAGAAAAGTTAAGGCTCATGGTATCGAGGGGAAAGTTTTAAATTGGACAAAATCATGGCTCACCAATAGAACGCAGAGGGTCAGCGTAGATGGTGTTATATCTGAGTGGGGCTGTGTAACCAGTGAGGTTCCCCAGGAGTCAGTACTGGGCCCACTCTTGTTCATAATGTACATGAATGATCTAGATACTGGGATCAGCAGTGACATAAGCAAGTTTGCGGATGACACCAAAATAGGGCGACAGGTTAATTCAGGGCAGGATGCAAATGCACTACAGGAGGATTTAAACAATTGGCAGGAGTGGTCAGAAAAATGGCAAATGAAATTCAACACCAGCAAGTGCAGCGTACTTAATATTGGAAGAACAAATACTATCAATGTATACAGCCTTAACAACATCAACCTAGAGAAATCGACTTGTAAAAGAGACTTAGGGGTACTTGTAAGCCCGGACCTACGGCCTAGAAAACAGTGCGTTAATGTTCGGAATAAGTCAGAGTATTAGGTTTTATATCTAGAAGTGTAAGTAATAAGAGTGCAGAGGTCTTATTGCAACTCTATCTTGCGCTAGTCAGGCCGCACCTCGATTATGTGGTTCAGTTCTGGTGCCCTTATTATAGAATGGATATCAATTTACTGGAGTTGGTGCAGCGAAGAATTACGAAAATGATTCCGGGACTTAGAAACCTTCCATATCAAGATAGGTTAAAGAAACTAAACTTGCATTCCCTAGAAAGACGAAGAGTGCGGGGAGATATGATAGAAGTATTTAAGTGGGTGAAAGGAATCAATAGAGGAGATATAGATGAAGTTCTTATAATATCCGAGCAGGATAGGACTCGTAGCAACGGATTTAAGTTAGATGAGTTTAGGTTTAGGAGGGAGATAGGAAGGGACTGGATCACAAATAGGGTGGTGGACGAGTGGAACAAGCTCAGCAACTTTGTAGTAAGCGCTGGAATGCTGGAAAGTTTTAAAAGGATGCTAGAGAGTGGTAGTAACTCTCGACAGGAGCTGCCGTGCACAGGCCAACCAGCCTATTGCAGACTCCTTAAAATCTAATGTTCTTATGTTCTATATATATGTCTGTCAGTATATATCTGTGTGTCAATATCTTGTTCTAAGGTGGTTTGTCGCCCAAGGTGACGCAAAAGGACACAGATGATGCACCAAATGAAACCCACTTCTTTTTACATACTGTACACCCCGAGGTTGCTGGTGGTATGGGCCTGGTATTGAGAGCTCCCAACCTAACCTAACTTAATCTCTTTTACTCGAACCTACATCAATTCATCCTATCTTACACTAATTAAACCTATAATGAGTGAAATATAGTGAAGAAAGTATAGGTAGAATATTTAGTTGTAGGAATGTAAAGTGAGGAAAGTTTGGTAGCGTGGCCGGTTAGTTATTTAAAAGTTAATATGTTTTTAGGAGAATTCTTACACCAACTCTAAGTACAGCTATTTATTATTCAATTCAACGGCATGGACACATTAATAAATCATTATATCGAAGTTACAATACAATAACGAGAGTCGGTGCAGCGAAGAATGACGAAAATGATTCAGGGACTTAGAAACCTTCCATATCAGGATAGGTTAAAGAAACTAAACTTGCATTCCCTAGAAATACGAAGAGTGAGGGGAGATATGATAGAAGTATTTAAGTGGGTGAAAGGAATCAATAAAGGGGATGTAGATAAAGTTCTTATAATATCCGAGCAGGATAGGACTAGGAGCAACGGATTTAAGTTGGATACGTTTAGGTTTAGGAGGGAGATAGGAAGGAACTGGTTCACAAATAGGGTGGTGGACGAGTGGAACAAGCTTAGCAACTTTGTAGTAAGTGCTGGAACGCTGGAAAGTTTTAAAAGGAGGCTGGATAGATTCATGGATGATAGAGAGTGGTAGTAACTCTCGACAGGAGCTGCCATGCACAGGCCAACCAGCCTATTGCAGACTTCTTATGTTCTTATGAGCG